AGGTTTGAGTCCACACAGAGGTACCTCAGAAGAAAGTCCTAGCAATATGCTTCCAAAATATCAGCCACTGAGAGCCTACAGACACAGCTCTATTCTGACATACATGGGGTCAGCATGAGCCAAAGTCTACCTGATGGCAAGCTGTTTTTTGTAAATTAAACAAGATTTGTCATGAACTAATAATTGTTGAAGCTGCATGATGAATATAAGGGTAAGTCAAAAAGTGTAACTACAAAAATCACATAAGCCTTCACTAAACAAAACTATCAAAATGTGAAGCTGTTGTTTCTCACTGTATCATCCATCAATAACTACGCTTCTGAAAGCGCTGTTTCCAGCTATCTAACAGTTCCCTCAAAGAAGTCTGTGATCTATTCACACCAAGTCAAAATAGCAGTTTGGGCATCTTTTAGAGATTCAAATCATCATCATTTTCAGTGTTCTTTGGATTTGGGAAACAAAAGAAGTCTTAAGGTGCAAGATCAGGGATGTGGATAAGGTTTCCCAAAGCAGTTCTCTTAGGATAGCCCTTGGTACTCTTAGAGCATGAACAGGTGCGTTGTCTGATGGGAAAATTTCCTCAGTGCAACTTTCCTGGCCCTTTTCTCACCAATGCAATTTTCAGTTTTCTTAGAACTTCTTCCTAATGTGGCCCTGTGTTCGTCCTGTGCCCTTCAACAAAATCTGTCCAGACTACCCCTTTGGAAAAAAACGATCACCATAACCTATGGGCCTTCGTTTTTTTTTTTTTTTCAAAGCACCCTATCAAGAGTAAGGAGTCCTGGTGTGGTGCTGCAGGATAATGCATTGGACCGCAAGTTCGGTAGTTCAAACTTACCGGCCGCTCCTTGGAAATGCTGTACGTGGTTACTATGAGTCGGAACTGACTCAATTGTGTTTACCAACAACAATGAGACTAAAGGGAGCACAGTAGCTGCATACAATAAGCACTGGACTGCAAACCACAAGGTCCACGGTTTGAGCCAACCAGCCTCTTCATGGAAGAAATATGAGGCTTTCTGCTCCAGCAAACATTTATAGCCTTGGAAACCCTATACATGGTTGCTATGAGTAGGAACTGATTAAATGGCACTTAACAATACAATGAGACTAAAACAAGTGTACTACTGATTACAGAGACATGCTTAAGCACATTTTGTTGGAATAACCTGTGATTGTATGAACGAGAACCCTAGCAGCAATACATTTTGACTTACCTTCGTATATCAGGATTGGCCTATTACCATGTTTGCTTTTGTATGTGTTCGAAAGTTTCTGTAAAAAAAACTTCCTGCTGGGGGAAAGTGTTCAATGTTGTTTTAAGATGATATTGTCCTGGCTTACTTCCCCTATTTCTGATATTCCAGATAGATGCCACTTTTGAAAAGCAGTTTTATCTCATCACAACTCATGTTATCCCATCACAACCACATCAAAGGCAGCGAGAACTTTTCTGCTTCTACAAAAGTGGCATTGCCCACACTGAGACTTCAGTAAAGCCTCAGCATGAGTTTAGAACTGGTTGATAGCTTTTTGGTGTGTGGCTGTGGAGTTTGTCTTTGGTTCAGTGGGAATCAGCGTGTGTCTCTTGTTGTTTTCCAGGTCCTCGTTCATCTGGGACTCCTGACCAAGGAATCTGGATTTAAGATTGCCGAGACAGCTTTCAGCGGTGGCCCTCTTGGTGAATTAGTGCAGTGGAGTGATTTAATTACATCTCTGTACTTACTGGGCCATGACATTAGGATTTCAGCTTCACTGGCTGAGCTCAAGGAGTAAGGAGATTACTTTTCAATTTTAAAATCAGAATACAAAAAAGAAATTGTAAACTCTTAAAGCCCTCTATTACTGTGCAATTTCTTGCGGAGGAAAATGGAAGTGATAATTCACTAAACAGGAGATAAGAAGATTATTTTCAGGAGCTAAATACATACACTGTGAAAAGGATAATATGTTTTTATTGTAGCTGCAGGCTCCTGAGACTTCATAAATGAATGCCAGAAAATTCAAACTAAGGAGCTTATTCTTTGCTGTTACAGGTGCTTCCAACATCTGCAGCACAAAACATTATTGACTTTCATAATTCCCCATCTCTTGATGAAATTCATGCCATTCCCAACTCAGCATCAAGCTTTCTAAATCTTAAAACAGCGCAGGCTCCTGTTTATAATTTAATTTGGGTGGAGTGAATTTCCTGAAAGCCCTGATCCAACCCCTTTCCAATTAGCCAACATTCATCTATAAAGTCTGTTCATTTTACCTGAGTTTCTTTCATCACTGAAATGTGCTTCCAACTCTTGTTGTTGTTAAGTGCTGTTTGAGTCCATTTCGACCCACAGAGACCCTGTATAGGGTTTCCA